AAACTAGTTCTTAAAATCAATTTTATTTAAATGTCCCACACATATCAATTAAAATCTTAATTAGTTTCTTTGCTTTCGAAAGCGGCAGCCTTTGATTTCGTTCGACCAGCGGGCGGCAGCGACTGCTTCAATATCGGGCGTCGGTTCTTTTCGGTTTTTCATATTTTTTTTTAGTTTTGTTTAAGGTTTTCGGTCTTTTTCTTCTTCGTTTTTTATGGTTATCGCTTATCGGAGTGTGTGAACGAGGTTTGGTCGCTTCTCAACTGTTGTGATGGTGATAAACTAACCGGAAATAAGAGGAGCATGCCTTTGGGTTGATGATGTCGTTTTGTGACAAGTGACTCTTCTATCCATTTTCTAGATCCAACTTCATCGATTTTGGGCCTTCGCCACTGGTTGGTTTTTGTGACTTTCAGCAAGTTTTGCAATTTGTCTCTTGTAGGATTTCGTGAATATGTTTCATCACTTGTCTATGTAAAATGTTTTTGGTTTATCCTTTTTCCAGTCTATATATGTTTCTTGTTGGTTGTGGATTCCGTTGGTGTTGTCGGTTAGCCGACTATCAGTCTCAAATCAAGCCTTTTTGTTGTCTTTTCGGGTGTGTTTCTAAACTTGCAGTTTCTGACTTTATCCCCATCGTTGTCATCAATTTCGTTTGTAGGAGGTTAAGGATTTAATAACTTTTCTGATGTTTGGACTCTCGAGGATGGAGCTGGATCAGCATGTAAGTACAAAGGATCTTCAAGGAATTCAACATCTTTTCCCATAGTAAAACACTTAGTTTCACGAGTAGCATTGTAAAACCATCTCATTTGAGATCATTATGTGTATACGATTCAATCTAATATAAATCCAGTTTGCCGTACTCATCTCCTTTGTTATCATACTTATAGAGATTTCTTAAACTAAACTCTTCTTCCCTAAATTCATGTATAAATTTTTAGTGCATAATTTAGCTTTTACATTATGATTTTTTTTTTTGTCGGCAAAAGATTTATCAAGATCCCATTAAAAAGTCATTACATGTGAAGTTATGGAGCCCAACAACCAAGAGTTAACTGATTAAAATTGAAGTTCAATATTTTAATCTAATTAAATAGTTTGACTAATCGAT